AAAAAAAAAAAAAGAAACAGGAATCATAGTTTGGTGAGCAGTGACTGGGATCTTAAAAGCTTATAAGCAGCCATCTAGAAGCAACGATGGATCTCTCCTTGTCCAGAGTAAAGAAAGAATGAAGAAAACCAAAGATTCATGGAAACAATTCGTCCTAGCGACTGGTACACCATGTGATCCTCAGTCTATACAACTATGAGACCAGAAGAACTAGATGGTGCCCGGCCACCACTGTCAGCCACTCAGAGGGCGATCTATGTAGGAGAGCCTGGATAGAGTGGGAGAAAAATGTAGAACAAAACTCAAAATCATTTGGGGGGATAAAGGAAAAAGGGGGACCAGGTTTGCTGGTCTGACAGAGCCTAAAGGAACCACTGGCACTATGACCCCTAGCTGGCCTTCAGGTCTGGAATTGAACCCACTCGTGTGGCTTCCAGCCAAACAAAAGACAGGAATATGAGGTGAACATTTACACTAGGTAGATACACTCCTAGAACAATCATGGGAGAAGGGCTGTGTATGCACAGGGAGGCAGCTCAGGGGGCAGGAGCACATGGAGGGATGGACAGAGGTAACAGGTAACTATGGGAAGGAAGTGGGAGGGGAGCTGTTGCATTGGGGTAAATTGTAGTCAATGTCATGAGACAACGTGCATGTAAACTGCTGTATGGAAAGTAAATTTCCTCTGTAAACTTTCATCCAAATCACAATTAAAAGAAAAAAAAAGAAAAGAAAGAAACAGGAATCAGATGCCTAGGGAATAATAGGACCTCCAGATGTATTAAGCTAATTAGAGTAATTTAAAGACACAGAATTCAAAACATTCCACATCTAACAAGGATAAACATAGAGATACAGTCTACAAAAATTATAAAGCAATCAGTGTCTCTCAAACTGTTTTCAGCCCAACCGGACTCATTTTAACAACAGGTAAATCTACTGTAAACCCAAACTCTCCAATTAACCCTGCACTACCTTGTGCTCCAGCCCATGATTTTTTCATAGACCACAAATCACACCCATCAGATGTTCACAGAGAAAGTGACACAGTCTCACCTGTAACATATCAATCCCCAGAAGCAGCTTGATGAGGCTCTTAGAGTAAGGTGTGCCTATGCTGTAAAAAACAGGTATTTGTAATTTGTTCTTTTTTTTAATGTTTTCATTTCCTTTTCTTCATAAAATTGGTTAAATTCGAAGAGCAACTATTATATTAGATAAGAAATATAGAACACACACTCCTTGGAGAGATCAATCATGGGAGAATAGAAGGGCTGTGTATGCACAGGGAGGGGGCTTGGGGGATAGGAGTGCATGGGAGGAAGAGGTAACTATGGGGAGGAAGTGGGAGGGGAGCTGTTGCAGTGTGGTAAATTGTAGTCGATGCCATGAGACAAAGTGTATGTGACCTGCTGTATGGAAAGTGAATTTGCTCTATAAACTTTCACTCAAGTCACAATGAAATTTAAAATATGTATATAGAAAACACAAAAAGATGGCTCTTAAGCAAGCAAGAGGTGGAAAGTTGAAATTCTATCAACACAGGTGAAACACATTCTAGAAAACACTGTGGTTCTTAGCCCATAATCACAATAGTTTTAGAGGGTAGGCTGAAACTCTGAAGGAGAGAGAGTTAGAAATCAAAAGTGAAATGACAAAAAAAAAAAAAAAAGCATTCTCCCCCTTCCCTACCACCACCACCAACCACCCAATGCATATAACAGACTGAATTTCAGCAGGCTTCTATGTCTCCTCTCCACACCTGGCTTCCTCATCTTGCAGACGTTCACAAGACAAAAGGCAGTTCCTGAAACAGTCTTGGTTCTCAATGTAAGACTCCAGGCCACTAACAAAGTCTTCTATTATCTTAATAAAGGAATGGAAAAAAGAAAAAAAAAGGCAGAGGAAGAGTAAGGTTTTCATTTAATATTTGCTGTTAGCTAAACTTTCTTCTAGCCCACTCAACTAACTCTATGCCAGTGTCTTTATACACCAATTCCAGAGCACAGCTGGCAAAAGCAAAAATCCCAGGGAAAAAATACATACTTGGGGATAAGAAGGATGTTTCCTCAGGATCTGAAAAAGCTTCTTTTGGAAAACTATCTGATCCACAGCTTTAAGGAAAAAAGAATAACTGATCACCAGCATCCTTAACATCTCCTACCACAGTTTTCCTTCCCTAAGGACCTAAATTCCTTGTTTGATGAAACCAAGAGATATATTCAACATAATTTCAGAATAAAAATTTCTAAACCAACAGTAAAACAGACTTAACTTTGATAGAGGACAGAATATTCTATGAAACACCTGCCATAATATTAGTAGGATGAACTAATCTATGCTCTAACAGGGCCTTGGCTTTCTAAATGTTCTTTTGAAATTATTCTGACACAGATCTAAATGCTTTCTGGATATTAATTTCTTTTTTCACATGATAACATGAGGGAATACTAATATATAACATCTTTTTCTACACAAGAATTGGAAGTACTTTACTTAATATGCATTAATCAGGAAACAGATTATAACAATATTGTCTAAAAAGTAATTCCATCCTGGTTTCAAGATGGAGAGTCCTCCCAATTTCCAATCTTCACTGCTTCTCTAGAAAATCTATGATTTAGTCCTGAGCTTTTTCACTAAGTGCAGATAACAGATTTACATTAAAGTATTACCTAGCTGATTCTGACTCTCTCCTGTTTTAAGAATAATTCCTGATGTCTTAAGAAGCTCTACAAATACGCTGTCATTTTCTTCAATTTCATTATGAACCTGAGATTTCTTTGTCCTTTTGGAAAGATGTGGCTTCCTCGCTTCTGAAAATAGATAAATTTTTCAAAAACATGAGAAATATTGAAGCAAAGATTAAAATACAAACCCATAAATAATAACCCTAAGAGGAAAGCTGATGTGTTCCTATACTAGAATTGATGCTGTGATAAAATAAATAATTTCTAACAGTGGTCAGCAATCATGGCTCCCAAACCAATCAATCATCAATCAACCAACCAACAAATAGAACTATTTTTGCCTACTGAGTTTTCAAGAAAGCTTACCAAGTGGTTAAGCACTCAGCTGCTAACAGGAAGATCAATAGTTCAAACCAGAAGCTGCTCCACAGGAAAAAGATGTGGCAATCTGCTTCCATAAAGATTACAGCCTAGAAAATCCCAAGAGGCAATACTACCCTGTTCTATGGGATAACTGAGTCCGAATCAACTCCATAGCAAGGAGTTTTTCTTTTAATTGAGTTTTCATTTGAAGAATTCAAAATGTACCACATCTAACAAGGATATCCATAGAGATATTTTCTACCAAAATTATAAAGTAATCAGTGTCTCTCAAGCTGTTTTCTGCAAACCACTACACCGGAATCTCTGGAAGCTTATTACTATGCATATTCCCAGGCTATATCCCAGAGCTATGAATTAAAAACTCTGGGATGGGGCCTAGGAGTCTAAATTTTTAACAAGCTCTCCAGAGAATAACCCTGATACACACCAAAGTTTGAGACCAATGATTTGGATGCAACAAAAGACAGAATGAGGCAAGTTCTCCAGTGTCATATCTTCGAGTACAAAGCCCAGATTAGTTTCATTCCAAACTTTCAACTCATAAGGAATAAAATATAATAAACAAACAAACAAAAAAACAAACAGGAAGTCTACCTCTTCTAATAATGCAATTTATTCTTTTGTCCCTTCTCCAATTCTTCTCCCTCTAATAAAAATCTTGAGGAGAATGAAATAATAACCTTAGCCTTCTTAAAAAAAAAAAAAAAAAAAAAAAAAATTCAGGCATAGCCAAAACAAATGATTCAATTTACTCATCACTGACCCAAAGAACCCAAGTCCCTTCCAAAAGTTTCTTTCCTTTTGGAGACTAGTATTTCCAAAGCATGACATTTACTTTTAGTAACTTCCTAAATTATTTATCTTCAATTTCATAATTTCTACCAAATTCTCTGTCTTATATTCTCTTTAAGGAGCTCTGTTGTCACAGCGGTTAAAGCAATATTAAAGCATATGGCTGCTAACCAAAAGGTTGGCGGTTCAAACCCACCAGTCACTAGTAGGAGAAACGATGAGACAATCTGCTTCCGTAAAGATTTACAGCCTTAGAAACCCTATGGGACAGTTCTACTCTGTCCTATATGATTGTTATGAGTTGGAATTGACTTCATGACAGAGGGTTATATTTCCTTTAGTAATACATTGTTAGAGCCTCACAATTTCCTTTTCTATATCAAACCTATACCTAACATGGTTTTGGCTGGAAAATTCTAATCATTCTGAATGCTGTATAAGAATCATCAATAAGCATTTCCATCAGTATCAGCTGTATCTGACCAAAAGCTAAACTCAAATTTCTGGAACTTAGTAAGAAAGCACGTGTGGCTGCTAACCAAAAGGATGGCGCCTCAAACCCACCAGCCACTCTGCAGGAGAAAAATGAGGCAGTCTGCTCTATAAGGATTTATAGCCTTGGAACTCTTATGGGGCAGTTCTACTCTGTCCTATACGGCCGCCATGAATCAGAATCAACCTGATGGCAGTGGGGTTGGACTTTAGAATATGAAATAACCTTTAATTAACAAGTTAGAATTGACTTAAAAGTATAAATAAGCACAATGGGTAAAAAAGATTATCAATCTTTTCTCTTTGGAACTCTTAGCTTTTGTCAGCCGCATTCTCATATGAGCACAGTGTCTACACTGCTCCTTTGCCTCTGGTGTGACTGCTTTGATATGCTATCTTTCCTTTATATATGACTATCACAGCCCTTATCTAGACCACAATTATTTTTTAACTTTCTAATAGTTAGACCATACTTTTTTTGAGCGAGAAAGGGGAACTTAAGTTTATTGTTTTTAAAGCACAAGTAATATGTTGTATCTCTGTGCAATGATGTATAGTACATATGGTCTGTAATATTAATACCTTTTATGAATATGGGAACAGAGGCTCAGATAAGATTTTCATATGTTGAATTAGAAGCAGCAACTCAATCCCAAATCTCCTGATACTAGATTGTATGTTTCCAGTATCTTGATGACTCCCAGCACTTGAAAAGTAGGAACATTAAACCTCTTTAAATGCCTCACACATTTGCTACAAGAAACAAAGCAACAAATGACTAGACACTTACTAGAGGCATCTTCTGTTGGGTTCTCTTTATCTTCAGATTTTGACAGTCTTCTTTTGGAAATCATTCTGACCAAACTCTGATACAGTCAAATTACTTCCTAAAACAAAATCAAAGAATAGAAATCAGAATCTAGAAACTAGATAAATTCTGAGACATTAAAGCTATAGAAAATTGCTCTATCCAAAACCAGAGGGGCTCTATACCTATATCTGGTCAATACACCTTGCTTTCAAGTCTTACCTTGTTTACCTATTTGCCTCCTTAACCAGACCACTTTCCTACTGCTGAAGAATAAAACCCACAGTTTTCTATCTGACATTTAAGATCTTTTCATCACCTAGCCCCAGTCTATCTCTCCTTTAACTCATTAATTCAATACTGTATGTTAGGGATTTAACTAGATGCTAGTGCTACAACTGTGAACAAGACAGACATGATCCCGGTCCTCAGGAATTTAGTTTAGTAAGGGGTGTTATGAAGGCTTATACAAAAAAATTTATTCTATTTGGGGAGGGGTAATGAAGAAAAGCAGAGACAATTTTCCAGAAATAGTCTTCCTGCATTATATCTGTAGATCACTTTGAGTAGTATGGACATTTTTATGATATTAAGTCTTCCTAAACTCGACGGCAAATAACAACAACAAACAACAACCATGATAGAATACCATGAGCATGGTATGCTGTTATTAGGTGCCATCAAGTCAGCTCCAACTCATAACAACCCTATGTATGACAGAATAAAACACTCACAATATCTGCTACATCTGAGCCCATTGTCACAGACACTGTGTCAATCCATCTCACTGAGGGTCTCCCCATTTTTTTCTGACCCTCTACTTTACCAAGCATGATATCCTTCTCCAAGGACCAGTCCCTCAACATGACCAGAGTACATGAGATGAAGTCTGGTCATTCTTGCTTCTAAGGAGCATTACGGCTGTACTTCTTCCAAGAGAGATTTATTCATTCTTCTGATAAATACAAAAAAAAAAAAAAAACTCACTGCCATTTAGTCAGTTCTGACTCATAGTGACCCCTCCTTGGGTTTCCCAGGTGGTATCACTATGGAAGTAGATTGCCCAATCTTCCTTCCCAGGAGCAGCTGGTGGGTTTGAACTGCCTGCCTTCTGGTTAGCAGTCAAATAAATGCCTTAGGCACTAAGCCACCAGAGCTCCTATGCCACCAGAGGTAGTCAATGGGTATTTTCAGTATGCTTACTAACACAATTCAAATGCATCAAGAATCTTCTTCGGTCTTCCTTATTCATGGCCCAGCTCTCACATGCATGTGAAGCAATTGAAAATACCACAGCTTACTAAGGGTCAGGTACACCTTAGTCTTCAAAGTGACATATTTGCTCTCTAACCTTTTAAAGAGATCTTTTGCAGCAGATCTGCCTAATGCAATACATCATCTGATTTCTTGACTGCTGCTTCCATGGGCTTTGATTGTGGATCCAACTCAAACAAAATCCTTGACAACTTCAATCTTTTCTCCATTTATCATGATGTTGCTTATTGGTCCAGTTCTAAGAATTTTTGCTTTCTTTATGTTGAAGTATAACCCGTATTGAATGTAGTCAGTAAGTGCTTCTTCCTCTTCCTTTTTTTTTTTTTTTTTGCCATTCACTTTCAGCAAGCAAGGTTGTATCAGATGAATGTCACATTCATCTTTTGAGTTGAGTCTTCCTCCAATCCTGATGCTGTGTTCTTCTCCATATAGTTCAGCTTCTCAGATTATTTGCTCAGCATACAGACTGAAAAAGTATTGACAAAGGATACAACTCTGATGCACTAATTTCACTAATGCACTAAATTTCCTAATTTTAAACCATGCAGTATCCCCTTGTTCTGTTTGAACAACTGCCTCTTGGTCTACGTACAGGTTCCTCATGAGTACTGTTAAGTGTTCTGGAATGCCCATTCCTTGCAATGTTATTCATAATTTACTATGATCCACAAAGTCGAATGCCTTTGCATAGTATGTAAAACACAGGTAAACATCTTTCTGGTATTCTTTGCTTTCAGCCAAGATCAATCTGACATCAAATGCTCTCTCTTTCCACAATCTATTCCGAATCCAGCTTGAATTTCTGGTAGTTCCCTGTCAATATATTGCTGCAACAACTTCTGAATTATCTTCAGCAAAATTTTACTTGTGTGTAATATTAAGGATATTGTTTGAGAATTTCTGTACTGTTGGGTCACCTTTCTTTGGAATGGTCATAAATATGGATCTCTTAATAGGCATATGAGGTGAACATGTATGTGAGGTAGATACACTCCTTGAAGAGAACAATCATGGGAGAAGAGGTAACTATCGGGAGGAAGTGGAAGGGGAGCTGTTGCATTGGGGTAAATTATAGTCAATGTCATGAGATAATGTGTGTGTGAACTGCTGTATGGAAAGTGAATCTGCTCTGTAAACTTTCATCCAAATCACAATTAAAAATAAAAAAGTATATATATGGATGTCTTCCAGTCAGTTGGTCAGCTAGCTGTCCTCCAAATTATTTGGCATAAAGGAGTGAGTCCCTTGAATGTTCCACCCATTTATTGAAACATCTCAATGGGTATTCCATCAATTCCTGGAGCCTTATTCTTCCCCAGTTCCTTCAGTGCGGCTTGTACTTCCTTCTTCAATTATCATTGGTTCTTGATCATATGCTACCTCCTCAAATGGGTGAATGTCGACCAACTCTTTTTGGTACATTGATTCTATGTATTCCTTCTATCTTCTTTTGATGCTTCCTGCATCAGTCAATATTTTGCCCTTAGAATCCATCAACATTGCAACTCGAGGCTTGATTTTTTTTTTTTTCCCTCCAATTCTTTCAGTTTGAGAAATGATGAGTGTGTTCATCCCTTTTGGTTTTCTAATTCCAGGTGTTCACACATTTCACTGTAACATTTTACTTTTTCTTCTTGAGCTACCCTTTGAAATCTTCTGTTTATCTCTTTTATTTCATCATTTCTTCCATCTGCTTTAGGTACTCTCCACTCAAGAGAAAGTTTCTGAGTCTCTTCTGACATCCATTTTGGTCTTTTCTTCCTTTCCTGTCTTTTTAGTGACCTTTTGCTTTCTTCACGTATGATGTCCTTGATGTAACCCACAACTTGTATGGTCTTTGGTCACTGGTGTTCAATGCATCAAATCCATTCTTCAGATGGTCTCTAAATTCAGGAGGGATATACTCAAGGTTGTATTTTGGCTCCTGTGACTTGTTTTAATTTGCTTCAGCTTCATTTTGAACTTGCACATAGCAATTGATTCTATTCCACAGTCAGCTCCTGGCCTTGTTCTGACTGATATATTAAGCTTCTCCATTGCTTCTTTCCACAGATGTAATCAATTTGATTCTTGTGTATTCCATCTGGTGAGGTCTATGTATATAGTTGCCATTTATGTTTTTTTAAAAAAAAGGTTTTTGCAATGAATAAGTCATTGGTCTCACAAAATTCTATCATGCAATCTCAGTGTCATTTTTATCACCAAGGCTGTATTTTCAACTATCAATGATTTCTCGTTTCCATCTTTCACATTCTAATCACCACTAATTACCAATTTGCATATTTGGTCAATTTCAGACTGCAGTAGTTGGTAAAAATCTTCAATTTCTTCATCTTTGGCTTACTAAAGCCAAGTTGGTATGTAAATCTGAATAGTAGTAATATTAACTGGTCTTCCTTGTAGGCATATGGATATTATCCTATCGCTAACAGCACTGTCCTTCAGAATAGATCTTGAAATGTTTTTTTTGACAATGAATGTGACACCATTCCTCTTCAATTTTCATGCCCAGAATAATAGACCATATTACTGTCTGATTAAAAATGGCCAACACCAGTCCATTTCATCTCATTAATGCCAAGGATATAGATTTTTGTGTTCCATTTCATTTTTGACAACTTCCAATTTTCCTAGATTCAACTTTGTACATTCCACATTCCAATTATTAATGGATGCTTGCAGCAGTTTCTTCTCATTCTGAATTGTGCCACATTAGCAAATGAAGGTCCAGAAAGCTTTACTCTATTCAAGTCATTAAGATTGACTCTACTTTGAGGAGGCAGCTCTTCCTCAGTTGTACTTTAAGTGCCTTCCATCCTGAGGGGCTTATCTTCTATTATATCAGACAGTGTTTCACTGCTATTCATAAGTTTTCAGCGGCTAAGTTTTTTCAGAAGTGGATGGTCCTGTCCTTCATCACAGCCTTAGTCTGGAAGCTCCACTGAAACATGTCCACTATGGGTGACTCTGCTAGTATTTGAAGTATCAGGCATAGCTTCCAGCATTACAGAAACACACAAGCCACCACAGTATGACAAACTGACAGACAAGTGGTATTGTGTATTGTGTGATATATAGTCTTCCACTTATGTAGGCCTCTATTGGTTTCTTGTAATAGTGTTTAGTTTTCTTTGTACAGGTCTTTTGTGTCTTTAGTTAGATTTCCTCCTAAGTATTTCATCTTTGGGTAGTTATTATAAATGATATTGTTTTCCTGATTTCCTTTTCAGGGTTCTCTTCATTAGTGTAAAGACATCCAACTGATTTTTGCATGTTGATCTTTACACTGGTACTTTGCTAAAACTATCAATTAGTTCCAGTAATTTTCTTACTGAGTCTTTGGAATTTTCTATGTATTAGATCCTATCATCTGCAGATAGTTTTACTTCTTCTTTGTCAATATGGATGCACTTTGCTTTTTTATCTTACTGCTCTGCTAAAGACTTCCAAAACAGTACTGAATAGGAGTGGTGATAATGGGCATCCCTGCTTGCCCATTTGTAAGGGGAATGCTTTAAGTTTCTTCCCATCAAGAATAATGTTGGCCTTTAGTCTTGTATATATGCTGTTAATTATGTTGAGGAATTTCTCTTCTATTATAATGTTGCTCAGTGTTTTTATCAGGAATGGGTGTTGGATTTTGTCAAATGCCTTTTCTGCATTGATTGATATGATGGTGTGGTTCGTTTCCTGTTTTCTTTATGTGAAGAATTACATTAATTGTTTTTCTAATGTTGAACCATCCGTGCATACCTGGTATGAATCTCACTT